TCTCTATGTAAAACACGCAGCAGCGAAATAGCAAAATCCGCCGCATCAGTGAAGCGCACGAAGCAGGTGTTTGATTTGTTCTCATTTGTTGTCGCAGAATCTGACTTTTTGCAACATAGCGAGCCATCCTTCATGGAAACGACAACGATCGAGGTGGATCCTGTCACTCAGGAAAGGTACATACGAAATATGATCTTTTTTCTGTTTTTTTTTTATATGTCAAGAACAGGTACGTTGTTATTATCTCTTACAGTGATATAAAATCAGATATTTTTTTTTTACTTTTATCTCCCAATCACGACGCTGTTCATTTCGAAAATTATTTAAAACTTTTTCCTCGCGCTGTGTATAATAATCACGGTGCATGGAAAAATCGTCAAGTTGAAAAAACTTGCATATAGATAAATGTATTAAAAAAAAAAAAATCGTCTCTTGCAGTATAACGACAGCCACGCGAACGGAAACGAGGACGATATCATCCACGGGAACTGGTGGGACGGACGATTTGCGAGAATCGATGCAGAAGATCATGGACACGTTCATGTCGGAAGAGAGGAAGGATCATTAGGAGTAACGTGCATATTTCCATCCTTTGAATTTGCAATAAGAAGAGAAGAAGAAATCATCGTCGAGTTCTCGACATCGATCCCCTCGTCGATTATTGGATCCTTTACCTTTGGAGAGAAATACTTTAATAGCCTTCGGACTTGACGTGTCCTTGGGCATTGAACGAAGAATTTACGATCATGATAGGACTGGGAGCGTATGAAGATGCTCGCTCCTTCGGGGTGCTATTTCCCTGAAACCACACAAAAGCATACACAATGATTTACTATCACGCTCATGGCCTATGCTTCGAGTTTGCTTGCCTTTCCGTTCCGCTCGGTTGCCTTATCTCTTTGCGTTCGTCGGAATCTCGCAATCGAAGATGAATAATGATGACGATGATGATGATGATAATGTATTTGCGTATGTCGTTGCTAGTCCGACTAGCCGATTCGCGCTAGTCTTCACTATGCCAACCCGTCCATGTATGTGCTTTTTCGTGTTGTTTGAAGATATAATGCGAAATGGAAGGGAAAGTATCAAGTGTGGAGACGATGGGACATGTCGAGAAGAAACGCGAAAAAAGCGGGAACGCAACAAGATAAGATCGAATGAGCGATCTGCTGATATCAGCGATCGTCTAGATCAGTAAGATTCTCGCGAGAATAGTCCGTTTAAGCTTTAGGATGGTTATACATCTCTCTATCCGCGCGCAATATATCGCTTAATAGATCGGCAATACACACACACATATATATATATATATA